GTGCATGGCAAAAGGTTCTTTGGGTTCTTTAGGAAAGAGTGTGCAGGAAGTTGGAAAAGTTGTATTTTCTGGGAAGCCTGATCCAGGCAAGAGAATATGCTGGAGACCATTATGCTCAGTAGAATAGCCTGGAGGGGAGACCTTTATGGTATTGGAGAATAGCTTTCCAGAAGCAGCTTCATGTGTTGAATTTTTCCTCTACCACACCTGCTCTGCTTTAAGTTCTATGTTCACCTGGGGCCCTTTCTGTTTCCCTTCTTTCTTTTCAATCTCTCTTCCCCTCCTTCCCTGTCTCCCACCAGCCTCTGTAAAAGGAAGCAGGGACAGGCTACTGATGCCCTGTTCAATAGCTCCGTTTAGAGTTCCTTAGATGTGTTGGATCAAGTTTGTGCTTTGAGCTCTTTTCTTTACCTCACTCTGTCATGACTGTCCCTGTTGTGCTTGCCCCTTCCCCTTTCTCTGAGCAGTGGGAAGTTCCAGGGGCTGTGCTATCTGCATGTGGTTTCCTTTCAGTCAGAAAGAGAGCAGGAGGCTCCTGCTTTCTTTGCAGGCTTTGGCTTTATGTACACAAATATACAAGCAGAGTATAAATGGAGGCAAACAGCAGGCTTCTATTCCATAACAGCAGATCATGTTTCTCACCTCAGAATGTCAGGACTATGTGGGGGAAATGTGGGTGGGGGTTTAGAGTCCTGTACCCCAGCTGATTTTAGCTGTCACACAGTTCTGAGAGTTTTCTCTTTTTGCCTTTGTATCATTAAAATTGCAAGCATTTGCTATCTAACATGCACTCACACAAATCTCCTTCCATATGTCTTACATCAGTTGCATCCCCTTTTAAGGTACAGAGAGATTAATTTTCTCCAGACTCTGCTTATAGAAAGGTTATAGAAAGATTCATAACCATCATTAACTGTTATTACTAAGACATTGTGCAATGATTTTGGGATATATAAGCTTGCAATTTGCCTAATGAACTGAATAGCCAGCCAGCAGGTATCAGCCACTGTGAATCACCATTTAAGCTGTTTGAACTTCCCTGTTCCTGGCTTTTGAACCTTTGAGATGTGCTACATAGATTTCACTTGCTTGTTGAGATGTTATTGCACTGATACTTTGACTTATTGAACTAAGTGTGGTTATTTGGAATATCTTTCATCCACTCCATTTGCTCACCTCTGTCCCAGTCAGTATCTCCTAGGAAAACCAACAGTTGATAAAATAAGGAATCTCAAAGGAACAGGTCATTGTTTCCTGATCATAGCTAAGACTGTAAGGAGATGATACCAATGGAACATTATGCTTTATTCTGGCCTGCATTACTCTGGTCTATGTGGATGTAGAAATTGCTTCTATGACTTGCATTTCTGCTTCCTGTTCCTGTCGGGAAGAGTTTCTGTTTGGGTGTACAGTTTGGGTGCTGTTTTGTTGAATGTCCTCTTTTTCTTGCTTTACACTTTAGCATATCTTTACTTAAGGAATCAAATGCATTGTCTCTTCTTGTGTCCATGCCACTTTATAATGGTGGATAATGGAGGAATGAAGATTATCTTTAGCTAGTCAAAATTACCATGTGGAAATTATTCCCTACCCATTAGCATCCTGTAAATCCCATTTTGTAGGATACAACCTACAGCAACCTTCCTTCTCTCCTACCTCTCCTCTTCCTTTATTTGCAACACTTCCTCTGGCAATGATGCATTTCCTTGAATCCCCATCCCCATTATGAATACAGAGTCTCTTTCTCCCTCCCTTTTAGACTTCCTTCACCCTCTCATAGATGATCAGAAGTGGAAACTCTGGAAATTCTTTGATCTATGACTGTCCTTGTAAATCATTCAACAGAGCAGCCACTTACAAAACTCACTTCCTTAAATCTTTCAATATATTTATCATAGTCCTCCAAGACACTGCCTACATTCCACCAGGTAGTTCATGAAAAAAGAAGACAAAAAGAATTATCTCTGAATTGTATCTGATGCTATATCTGTAAGAATCTTAATTGCTTGTCAATAAACCAACATTCTTCTAGATGCACCTGAAATTAAGCTGTCCTTCCATTTTGTCTAAAGACATTTTTAAAAGTGCATAAATCTAATACAGCACATGCAAGCCATCTATGACAATTTCTCCCTTTTCTTAGTGTGCTAATTAAGACAGCAACATGAGCAATAGCCAGCAACATCCTTGATTCAAAATCTCCAATGCAACTCTAGTTAAAAGAGTTGCCCATTTTGAAATACCATATGGAAGAGTTGTTATCTTTCCATCAACCATTGAACATGAAATCAGGGGCATCATGCATAGTACCTTCTCATGATGTTCTTTCTGTCTTTCCAAATTTTGTCTGAAATTGAAACTTGAAGTGAACTTGGAAGGTTTTCAGGGCCCATAAGGAATGCTGGGTGGGAGGTGGAGGGTTGGCTAAGCTGAGATGAGTCTCCTGACAGTCACACATGCATAGGGTATTGCTGAGTGTCTCCTAAACCAGAGTTCAATGCAACTTTGGAAATCCTTGACAAACCAAGGGGAACTTGATGGCATCTGAAAAAATTATAACCATATAATTTGGTTAGGGTGTGTGTGAGGAACTCAACCCACCTCTGGTCTCCAAACCAATTTTAAATAAACTGGCCAAAATTTTTCATCAGCTGCTTAGGTATACTTATCTAATAAAGTTCTCCTGACCAGACCCCCTCAAACCTGACCTAATTCAACTGTGCTCCAACTGATGGCAGAATGGACTTTCTTTCCCCCATGTATCATTTACCAAACAATGATACCTCTATTTGACCAACCAATATACACAATTACATGTTGCAAACTTTTGAAGTCACACTGGCTTCTTCATCAGGCAAACAGGAGAAGGAAAAAATGAAGATGTTAGTCATAAGCCTGCAACTTCTGTTTCTGGTCTTAGTTCAGATGGTAGGGAAGGGCTATCTGTAGGCTGACACCTCTCCCTTTGGCCATCAGTCACTGGAAAATTTTCAAAGTCAAAGAAATTTAATGTCCATTTGCAATTCAAAGAAGATGTTTCCTTGGAATCCAGCATGCCTCCTTCATAGTTAAGCTGAGTTAACTTATTTAGTTAAAAAATATACTTGACTACATAGCTGATGACCCCATGATAGGTTCACCTTACTGTCACCATGTGTGGGAAAAAACTTGAAGGCACAAAATATAAGTGGCTGATACAGGATCCAACCAATAAAATTAAGGACAATTATATTTTATTTGATCAAAACATCTCAGGAATTCTGAAGCCAAAATCAATTTTTATAAACTTCCATAAGGAGGTACACACAATATATATATCCCATTATTACCATACAAATACCTATCTATTTTTGAATGGAGGCTTTGTGGGAAATAGAGCTTAGAAAGTTTACTTTTATGGGAGACATATCCCAGATTCTCTCTGCAGGAGTTTTAATTTGGTTTTAATGTTGACTTTTAAGAAAGAGAGTTTGGTTTTAATGTTGTCTTTTTGTACGCTTTTAAGTACATCATCATCATCATCCAAAAAAAGAACTCTATGTGTGATGGGGAAATCTGAGAGTGTTCAAACTGTAAGTCTTCCAAGCTCTGGACTAAGATATGTCGCAGGTCAGACTTACAAAAAATAATATTGTGATGGATTCTGTTTTTTTCCCCAAATGGCCAACTCTGTGTACTTTCCATCAGGCTATCACTAACTATGTAAATAAGATTTCACTTTCAAGAGTTTCTCTTACACCTTTTTAAAAACTCAGGTTACAAACATTAACTTCTCTGTACATGATTAGCTAAGTGTCCTAGTAGATGCAGTCCTTTTTAATTGATATAATCCTCTGTACTGACAGATGCTGCAGAGCCTACTTGGGGAATATGCATTTTCTTTTTCCTTTTTGTAGTTAGGTTGTAATTGGCTTTAAACTCCAAACAGTCCATTGCTAATGATATTTGGCCCATTTTAATTAAACAACCACTGTCAAGTACTTCCTTTATAGTTTCCTCCCCTTTTTTGTATGCACTCTCCATTGTAACAGTCATTTCTGCAAGCTTGAAGGTAATAATTAGAGTAATTCTCTGCTGATTTTGTCTTCTTCTGTTTGACAAACTTTGATGCATTATATTTATTTAAATGGAGCAGAAATTAACATGGATGCTTTTGTTCCAAAACATTTTTTTTTAATTTTAGCTGAATGCAAAGACTTTTTCTACTGAAATTTCTTGTTCTACAATCCTTCACTCACTTGGGTCAATGCACTACGTGTGAGAGGTACAGACAAAACTGTGAGAAGCTCATTAAGAAAGCAGCTGTATTTTCGACAGAATAGATGATTCAATTTGGAGGGTAGGGAGCATTGCCATGATTGGAAGTCACTGTAGTCTAGTAGTTAAAGTGCCATACTAGGACTAAGGAGATTGGGTTGAAATCTCACTTTGTCATAAAGCTCACTTGGGTCACCTTGGCCAAATCACTCTCTTTCTCCCAGCCTATCCTAACTTGTGAGGATAAATCATGAGAGTTGGAGAGAATCTTCCCCTGAGTTTTATTCTGTTATTTTCGGGTGTGGAATCAAATGGATATACATAAGTCTTAATTCAACAATAAAAAAATTGATACAATGGATCTATTTCATTTGGGATTGTAAAAAAAAAAATTGGTATGAATGAAGTTTTGAGATCCTTGGAGTAAAGGCAGAATGACCAATAACTAAAAGCATCCATTTGCTTTCTGGAAATTTCAAGTGTCTTGGTCCTTTTGCACTACACAATCATAGGACTATCATCCCAGTTTAACTACCATGGGTCATTGCCATGGCATTGTGGAATTTGTAGTTTAGGGAGGGGTATTTTAAATCCTCATCCAGTGAGATCTAGTGTCTCGTTGTTGTTGTTGTGTGCCTTCAAGTCGTTTCTGACTTATGGTCACCCTTAGGCAACCCTGTCATGGGTTTTTCTTGGCAAGTATCTTCAGAGGGAGTCAGCCATTGTCATCCTCTGGGTTTACATGGCAAAGCCAGGATTGGAACCCTGTTCTCCAGAGTCATAGTCCAGTGCTGAAACCACTACACCACATTGGCTTTCTATACCATGCTGGCTCTCTGGCACCTCACCAGAATACAAACCCCAGAATTCCATATAATGCATCCATGGCAGCTAAAGTGGAATCAAATTGCTATAATTGTGTAATGAATAAATACTGTGAAAAGCCTCATGGGCTTAGCCCTCCAGTGTTAAATAGCTAGATCTATCCCAAACTTTCTAGGGATAAGAAATTTCAAAGCAGTTCTAAAAAAAAAAAAAAGACAAGACAAGAACAATATGAATATGAAAGTTATTTGCACAGTGGGTCAACATTTAAACAGTGCAAGCATTTCCACATGACAGCTTCTGCTAATAATTGTTTCTAATTACCTTCCCATCCTTATCAAAGTTGCCCGCTGCCTGGTCTGTTCAAGCTGTCCTCTGACTGCTCAGCTCAGCTTCACTCTGGCTTCTTTGCTCAGCTGGAACATGTTTTCAAAGAGGTTCCTTGACTTGGAAGGACTTTAAATGGTGTAATTGTGCCCAGACGCATAAAGGGTCTTGACTTAATGTCTTTCCAAATCAAATGATTTGAAAACTGTTGACTGCAGCCAAAGTAACTTTTTAAGATTAAAATTGGGGTGCAACCTAGTGAAGAGTGAAAGACCTTCCAAGGGAATATTGCTTGCATCTTACCAAGGACCAGCATAGTGGTTTGAGTGTTGGGCTAGAAATCTGGAGACCAGGATTCAATTCCCACCTCAACTAGAAAACCTACTGGGTGTTTTTGGACAATTCACACTTTCTCAGCCTCAGGGGAAGTCAACAGAAAACCTTCTCTGAATAAATCTTGCCAAGAAAAACCCATGATAGGTTTGCCTCAGGTTGCCATAAGTCAGAAATGACTAGAAGGTGCACAACAACAAACTAGTTTGTGTCAGCAGATTTAAGGACTCTCCCTGCATTCCTTGGAACATCAACTACACAACTGAAGGAGAACCACGAGGACATAGGACTGTATAAAATATCTATACCAATTTAACTATCTGATTAACTCATCCATTTACATCTCAGCAATTTCCCTCAGGTAATATAAGCAAGTTGCCTTACTGGGTTTGTTTGTATGTTTGTTTTTAAAATATTATCTCTATTGTGCAGGTTGGCTTGTTTGTTTAAGTCATCTGCAGAATTTGGTTTGTCTGCTCTTAGTATTGTTTGTTGAGCTGGCTGGTTGAAATCAGTCACCATGCTGTTTTTCTCATGCTCCTTCAAAAGCTCTCTCCCACAGTTTAATTTAGTTTGAGAAGTGCAACCATTTATTGAATTATTTCTTTCAATCAATTCCATATGCATTTTGCAGATATACAGTCCACTCACGGTCACACTGCAAAGTAGGCTTTGTGGTCTGAACATAACTACATAAATAGAAATTTTGGTGGCATCCTCTAAGATCATATTTATTATTGTTATGATATATGGGCCCAATGAATGCAACCCAAATCTGGCTCCCTAAAAGTTGCTTCAGATAAGTCCTAAGTTATTCCTTGGGTTCATGAGGAGTAGACCCAAGCAGCATCTATTACTCCTTTGCTATACTGAAGTAACTGCTCACACAGCTGGGCAAAGGTCATTCAGAAAACACAGCTGAAGCTGCATCCACACTGCAGAAATAATCTGGTTTGACACGACTTTCACTGCCATGACTCAATGCTATTGAATTTTGGCAATGGTACTTTTGTGAGACATTTAGCCTTCTTTGTTAGAAAACTCTGGTGACACAACAAAGTACAATTCCCAGAATTCCATAGCATTGAACCATGGCAATTAAAGTGATGTCAAGCTAGATTGTTTCTGCAGTGTGGATGCAGTCTGAGAGCTCTTCAGGGAAGAAGAACTAACTGCAAGACAGGTCTTGTCAGCCTTCATATGGCTGGACTTCTGAACTTCACTGGCCATACCTTCACAAATGTGGCCAGGCAACATCGGAAGAACATGAATACACAAGTTAGAAGAGCTGCTGCAAGTTTCTTTCCCCTCCTCTCTTCTCCCTCCCTGCCGACTTAACTGAGTATAAACTACTTTTGCACTTTGAACTCAAGTTTGCAGCAACTGAAGGCAAAAGGGGAAAGTGGGAAGAGGAGGGAGAAACTTGGACGTTTTAAAAACAGCCAAAAACAAGGATTAACTGGGATCATCACTGCCAAATTGGAGCAGTTGGATGGTTTGTAACACCTCACCAGTTCTTGAACCAGGAGTTGGAATCATATGGCTTTCTGGATGTTGCAGGACACCAAGTCCTAACATCTTTAGCCAGCTTCCCCAAAGGTGTGGAATGCTTGGATATGCAGTCCAGCCACATCTGACCAGCTGCATGACTCCCAAGAGGGAGAGCTCATAGGACCAGCAGAGTTCACAGGGGAGTTATCTGTGGTCCTGTTATGGCCTGTCTAAATCTGGATGTACATCACTCAGTAAAGTTACATTCATCTGAATCTATGGAAGGATGTGGTGTGATCCTAGAATTTTGTCTGACATGACCTTGCTGGAAAGTTACTTTGCCTCATCTGCTCTTACCCAAGTCAGGCAGCTGTTGTGCATGGCTCAACATAGCATAGAGCACTCTGGAGCAACCAAAGAGCTGCTGAATTTAGCCTGGTGGATAGTTAGGAAGGTGTTGCAGAAGTGTCTAGTTATATTCTTGAAGCCAAACATGAAGCGATTCCATAATTTGCCAAGGTCTACTGGGGTTCTCCAGAATTTGCAGCAGAGGATGAAATCATTTCAAATCTGGCCAGACATTCAGTTAAGTATGTCATGTTATTTCTCTTTTGATGTAACAGCCATTCATGTACAGCCTTTATTGGAGGGAAGAAGGGTTTATTTTTAATAGGCGTGCACCAAGGGTTATCTTTGACCCTTTGGTATTACATAATTATAGCGTACCCTTTGGAATGCCAGGGTTTGCAGTTTAGGAAGGGACACTTAGCCAGCTAGTTCTAGTCCCTCAACAAGTTACCAATCCCAGGATTCCATAGGACAGAGCCATGGTATTAAAGTGAAATAATAGTGCTATAACTGTGTAGTCTTAAAGCATACCCTGACTAAACATTGTTTTGAGCATCCCCCTCTTCAGGGATGTAAAATATGATCCCACATGTCTGAATCAAACTGCTTTAGATTTGTTCATGATAGTTCACTGAATTCTCCTTTGCATTGATGAGGAAGTATACAGGTATAATTACCAAGGCACAGTAGTTTGAAGCAGACTGTATCAGTGAAACCCTGTATCCGGTGATGGAAGCCTGAAACTGTTTAATTAAGTAATCCTTATCCTGATGATACAGCAGGTATACATTTTCGAGGAGGGGGCATACCCATCACTTCTTCTTCTCGACCATTTCCCTGCACTTTCCTCTGCCTAACACTGCATAATTCAGCAATTTTGGTAGTCAGTGATTTAATGTTTACAAGATGGGGAGTGACAGATTTTATTCCCTGTAAGCTTGAATGTTTGTCAGTTCTTGTCTTTCCATGTCTGGGAGAGAGAGCAATTCTAATGACGCACTGAAGTAGCACAGAATCCATTATCAAAATCTCACCAACTACATCTCCAGAAAATTTTATTAGTAGATGGGAAGAGGGAGCTTTCTTCTCTCCCTTTGGTATCAATTTCCCCTTGTTACTAGAACCTTGTGGGTAACTTCCTTTGTAGCTCTTTCTCACTGTGTTGGCAGGGAAAGAGAAATGCTCAGTAAGGAAAGGTATTCCTAGTTTGCTATCCACAAAAGGTGTTTTGTGCCGTCATAACTGAAACTTTCATTAAAACTTGTGTATTGAGATCTACTTCTCTAGAATGCCATCCTTTGCTGTCTTTGTTATTCCTTCTATATAATTCAGCACTCCTGCAAAATCTGTATAAAATAAAATTAAGTGTCTGTGTATTTGTTATAGAAAGCCAGTGTGATGTAGTGGTTTGAGTGTTGGACAAAGACTTCTGGAGATCAGCATTCAAATCAACCCTTTTTTCATGGAAACCCACTGGTAACCTTGATCAAGTCACACTCTCCCAGTCTCAAAAGAAGGCAATTGCAGACCCCCTCTGAACAAATCTTGCCAAGAAAAACCCATAATAGTGTTGCCACAGGGTCAGCAAGATTCAGAAATGACTTGAAGATATACTACATTTGTTATATTAAAGTAGTTGGGCAGTTTTTTACCAAATTTGGAGGATATGCTTGGGATGGTATGAGAAAAAAAATATAGGCTATGAGGCATACATGAAATTCATTTGTGGCTGTGTGCCAATTATTTTTTCATTGATATAAAGCAGTATGTTTCATAGCAGCTTGGGAGAGATGTGTTTTTTCAAGGGCAATAGAAAGCTGATATGCAAAGTGAGGAATGTCTGAGTGGCCTGAAGAGATGTTGAAACTCAAGAATCATTAATGATGGTTCATGATTCTTCTGAGCAACACTGAATGCTGCTATAAACTAAGGCCTGGTAGAAGAATCGCTGACCCATTAGATATCCCACAGATCTCAGAGACTGCCTTTGACTATTTGGAACATTGAGTTCTGGGTTTAAGAAACCTCTTGTGCCTGGACGCCCATTAAGGTTGTCAGGATGGCTTATCTTGGAGTACAGTAAAATTTGCAGAACTATTCCATTGTTGTTTTTCAGTTGTTAGGCACAGAAGAGCTATAGTTTGAGCAGTAGCCTGCTATTGTTGACCTTTTTGTTTTCTCCCCCTGTGACCAAGGCATTGTGCCAGTCTTCAGTTATGGGGGTGTGTGGATGTGAAGGTGCCTATTTTTTAATTCCTCCCCGGTGATCCACATTTGTGGCATTTTGGGGACAAGAAAATACAGATACCAGGCTCTGGAATTCAGTCTACCAATGATGGTAGGGGAGGGGCAAGAGTAGGTTAGCACCTACAAAAAGAATCGTACTGGACTTCTAATAAAAGGTGCCACATTCTGATGCCAGGCTGGAATATGATCTTTAAATTCTTTTGGCCACAGGATTTATATTTGGAAATTATTCAGTTCAATGCAT